ACAGATGGGAAGACTAAGGTGCAGAGACTGCAAAACTAGAGTGAAGGGTGCGGAATCTGCCTGTCCAGAGGCCACTAGAAACCTCTGCACCTTGCTTCTGCTTCCAGATCCTGTCCATACAAGACTCCACACCATCACATCTCCCATGTCACACAACATCTGTGTAGCAGCTCCACCACCCCCACCCCACATTTCCTGGAGGATCTGTTGCACTACACCCAACAGATGCCTGGAACTACAGAACACCACACCTGTATACACAGTCATCCCTCCGTGTCCTCGGACCTCCCACAGCTTCACAAGCTCTTTGTATAAAAGGGCACAGTATTTGTGTAAAACTTCCCCTCATCCTCTGGACATTTTAAATCATCTCTAGATTATTTCTAATACCTAATACGGTATAAATGTTACATTACTACTTGCTAGTTCACTCTATAATCTAATGAATAATGATTAGAAAAGTCTGTATGTGTTCAGCACAGACACAAGTTTTAAAACTATTTTCAGTCCACGGTTGGTTGTGAACCCACAGGTAGATACTGTTGGCTGTCTACTGTGTGCGGGGGGGCCGGGGGGGCGGGGGGCACTGGAGTTTGAACTCAGGACCTTGATTTGCTAGGCAAGCACTTTACCACTTGAGTCCCCACCCTTTTCCTTCAGTTTGTTTTTGGATAAGATCTCAAGCTTTTGTGTGGGGCTAGCTTCAGTTGGTGATCCTCCTACCTCCACCTCCCGAGTTGCTGGGATTATAGATGTGAGCCACTGCACCCAGCCTAATATTTTTTCCTATTCATACCTATCTCTGACGACATTCAGTTTATAAATGAGGCACAGTAATAGATTTACAGCAACTAATAATAAAATAGAAAGATTATAGTGATAGACTGTAATAGAAGTTATTTAAAACTCATAAATTGTTTATTTTTGGAATTTTCCATTTGATATTTTTGGATCAAGGTTGAAACCTCAGAATAGAAACCTCAGACACAGGAGGACTGAGGTTCACACATCGGCTGTGACAGTGCTCCTTCACTGTGACATTGAGAAACCTCGAGCTGGTGTAAGAGGCTGAGTGTTGCCCAACTAGTTAACATGGGAACTGGCCATGGGTCCCGATTCTCAGTCTTCCCTTCTGCATCACAAAAGTCTACTTGATATTCTCCCCTGTCAACCTGATATTTTAACATTCGTCTGCAGTCAGCTTCCCTCTCTGCCTCTAATCACTCTGATTTTTCCACTTATATTCTATTTTGTGCCACGGGTATCTGATTACAGTGTTCAATTCATAATTCTTTTTTAGGAACTGGGCAGTGTTTGCATTTCAGTCTTTCACAGAGTCACCTGTTTGTAAGGAGCCACCCAGCTCTGACCACACGACATTGATGTTTGTCCTGTAGCTGAAAGCCAAGTGACGTGCTTCTAGGAACAGATCTTCCTCCTTATAAGGTGGAGAGAGTTGGATGGAGCAGAGTGGCAGGGATGGGACCCTAAGATCAAACACCCACACCATCCTCAGCTCAGCCACTCTTTTTTTTTTTTTTTTAATATGCAGAGCTGGGGATGAAACCCAGGACCTTGCACGTGCTAGGCAAATGCTCTACCTTTGAGCTACATCCCCAGCCCTTGTTTTTTAAGATAGGACTCCCTACATAGCCAAGGGCAGCCTCAAACTTGCGGTCCTCCTGCTTCTGCCTCCCTAGTGCTAGCATTACAAGTATGCACCACCATAAGTATGGCAGCTTAGCTACTTCTTAATAGGAACTTCCCTCCCTGAGCCTCAGCCTCCTCAGCCATTCAGTGGGAAGATAACGACTTCCTTCTCATAGAGCTTTGGATGAAATTGAGCAAAACCATGTCCAGCCAGGGCTGAGCACTCATAGTCTCAGTAAATGGCTGGTCTTTCTCCTCTCATCCCATTACCGTCAGCCCCTCTGTGTGCGCCTCCTTTCCATAAATGGATTTGGTCCTTCCCACCCGGCCTCTCCCCGAAATAGCTGTAGTGCAGAAGAACTCTGGGGTTTTTTTTCCTTGTTTTCTTTGCAGTTCTGCAGACCAACTGTCTGACCCAAGGACACTATTATTTAAACCAAGCAAGTTGTCTTGCTGATTTGTCTTTGTTTTCCCAGCACTCCCCCCTTCACCAGAGAAAAGCAGCCATGTCTCTGTGTGTCTGTCTTTGAAGCTACTTTGCTTTCTAAAACCCTAAATAGAAGTTACAAAGGGCTTTTTCAATATCAGTGTCCAAGTCCCTTTAAAGATCAGTGGAGCCAGACTTCCCTAACCCCTACCTTTCACTTCAGCAGAGGGTACATAGATATGATGTGGTGATTATCTGCTTCTGTTCCCACCACTGTCCTCACTGTGTACCTGGGAAACCTGTTGACCCCTCCGAGCCTCAAAGGATGGTAATGCTGTCTTCCCAGAGCCAAATAGGGATGGATACAGAGCCCTCATCCCAGTGCTTTTGTGTGGCAGGCCCTCAGGAAACATCTGCTCCTCTGGACCACAGCAACCACTCTTCTTCACCATGCATTCATTCATCTACTTATTCACAACCATGACAAGGGACCTCCATGGCTGGAGGACACAGAAGGCCTTGAATGGATAGAGCATGTTTGGCATGGTAGGCTGTTGGATGTTTTGCTCGATGGATAGTGGATGCATGGGTGGTTGGATTTGGATGGATGGATGGATGGATGGATGGATGGATGGCTGATGGATTGATGGGTGGGTAGGTGGATGGATGGATGAATAGGTAGGTGAGTGGATGGATGGATGGATGGATGGTGGATGGATAATGAATGAGTCTATGAATGAAAGGATGGAAAAATGAAAAGATGTAGCTTTATTGGTCACATAGTTTCAGCCCTCCATCAAATATAGAAATTCCTGTGCAGTAGCTATGACTGTCCTTAAACACTTGCCTGCTTAACTGCAATAACCAACTTCAAGATATTTCATGGCCAAGCTCCTTGGCTGTCAACTCTCCCTTCTAAGCTCCCAGTGTGATTGTGTGATCTCTGTTAGTGGTTAACAGCATGGTCTTTGGAATAAGATCTGAGTTTGAATCTCAGCTTGGCTAATCAAAGTAATATGACCTTGACCAAATGCCTTGGCCTCTAAGCTGTGGTTTCTCCTTTGAAGAACAGGCATGTAGCGTGTCTCTTGGTGTGGTCAGGAGGATTAAGGAGATACAGCATATCAAGGAGAGGGCAGTGCTCAGTAAAGGCACCGTTCTCAGACTGAGCCGTCATCTACCCTAGTGTGACTTTTTTTTCATCTAGAACCAAATGTGTGCCAGATATTATTGTAGTGTTGTGCATTCAGCAGCAAACAAAATAAACATGCCCTGGTGTCTTGGAACTTACATTCTAATGGTGTGTTCGGACAATAAACAAGAAAACAGATAAATAATTTCTGATAGTGTGAATTCTACACGTGCAATTGGAACAGTACATGTTGAAAGATGGAGGGCATGGAAGATGGGAGTTCTTTGGGAGAGTAATGAACTAATGACAGGAAGATGCAGCCAGGCCATGATCTGGGAAGCAGGAATAGTTCATGAAAAAGTCTTGAGGCAGATACACTTGTGTCCTTGAACACTTGTTCAAGGAAAAGCATGGAGGCAGGTGTCCAGTGGGACCAGTGAGGGCAGAGAGATCTGAGGATCTGCATCATTCAGACAAGGAGGCTGTGCACTGGGATTTGGACATCACCCATGTGAAACTCACCCTGTGTTCTGGTGAGTTTAGCAGCCATGTTACTTTCTGATGACAGCCGACAGACCCCTAAGTTCCTGGCCTTCAGGATAACGGGTCTGCATTCTCACATTTCCCATTTAACATTCTGGGACACTCACAGCTACCATGCTGGCAGTACTCTAGGGTTCCGAAACCCAGACCCCTGAAGACATTCAGTTAGGTCCAGAGGAAACCAGGCTGAGGACAGCCGGGAGATTTCAAGTTGGAGTTGTAATAAGATAAGCTGTGTCTTAGTGCATTAAGAAGCTGTGTCTCTCTGAGCTCTTGCCTTTGGAACATTTAAAAGGGAAAGGAGGAGATAGGGATAAGGATAAATTGAACCATATATCCAGGTGGACCTGGTGTAGGATGTGGGTCTTCAAGTAAAATAACATCTGCTAATCTATGACTGTGGCTTGTCTCCAGCCTGGCTGACCCTGGAGCTCAAAGCCAGGTTGTTAGCACTTGGCTATTCGCCACTGCTCAGTTGGGTTTCCCTCTGGGCGGGATTTTTTTTTTTTTTCTGGCAACTTCTGTCCATATGGGAACGCAAAGGCTCTTATCATCTTCCGGTTTGACATCCAACAGAGAGGAAACCTCTTTATGTAATAGTTCAGACAAAAGTGTGGAATCTCTCATGGGCTAATTAGCTTGGTAAGGTCACACATCTATCTAACGATACTGTGACCAGGGAGATGCAGTGTTCTGATTGGTCAGCCTTAAGTGATAGGGCCACCCCTGGGCTGATCATTGAGCTGGCCCTCCCCATCCCTGTGAACTGCGCATGGGCAGAGAGAGAGAGAGAGATAAAGAAGCATGAGTTACTCAAATGAATAAGCCCCAAAGAGCTGCTGTGGACTGCTGCACTTGTAGTTAACAATACTACACTGGATACTTAAAAAATATTAAGAGTGTAGAGTTCATCTTACCTGTCCTTATCACAGTTTAAGTCAATTTAAAGCAAGCGAACAAATAATCATGTTGGATGCTATTAGGAGAAGAAGGAAGACTGGATTGTAGACAGACACAAATGGCACGTGTATCTTAGAATTTCCTAACTCAGAATTAACTGCAGCTTTTTCTGTGGTTCAGACCTGTATCTCTCTATAGCCCTCATCTCCTGCCTGGTTTGATAAATTTCAGGACCTAATATGACTGCTGTGTGCCCCTGAAGGGTTCCCAGAAAAAGCACCAGGGAAGTTCCTGGCTCCCCCAAAGGACATCCAAGTCTCACTCTCATCGCTACTGTCTTTTCCCCAGGCAAAGCCAACAAGAATGTCCAGTGGGATGAGGACTCAGTGGAGTACATGCCAGCAAACCCGGTCAGAATCGCCTTCGTGCTGGTGATCCATGGCCGCGCCTCCCGGCAGCTGCAGCGTATGTTCAAGGCCATTTACCACAAAGACCACTTCTACTACGTCCACGTGGACAAGGTGAGGCACCTCCTCCCTTGGCCCCAGCTGGGCTTCCTCTGCAGTCTGTCTGTCCCTACCTGATCATTTCTCCCAAATGACAAGGCCAGACAAAGGCTCAGTGCACGTGGACTTGTACTGCTTTGTGTGGGTAGAAGTGTGTGCGCGCGCGAGTGTGTGTACGCACATGCTGGTTTCAGCATTTCCAGCTGTGAGTTTCAACTTTCTCCATAAACAGTGTTTTTCTTTTTTTCCCTTTTTATTCTTGTTTGACACATAGTAATTATACATCATTATGGAGGACAATCTGCTATTTCCATACATGTATACATGATGAACCAATCAGTTCAAGATAATTAGCATATCCATTGCCTTAAATTTTTATCATTTCTTTAGGATGGCATCATTCTCTTCTACTTATTCTTTTTAAACACACACCCCACTATTGTTAGTTTTGTGACCACCCAGTACAATACAACCCAGAACTCAGTTCTCCTGGGTAACCAGTGTTTCTCCTGCCTCTTTTCCTCCCTGTCCTCCCATGGCCTCTCATGGGCTTAGTGGGACCAGCTCTCCCTAGAGTGGGCTCCCTACAGAATGTGTCAACAAAAGAGTGTGGCTGTTTTGTTGTATCAATAAAACTTTATTAACAAAAGCCCACAACTGATTTGCTGACCTCGGGACTATGTTGCCCCGAGAAGTGTCTATTGGTTGGCTGATGTGACATGATTATATCTTTAGTTAAGAAGACAAAGTGGGGTGCTGGGCATAGTGGCACACAGCTATAATCCCAGCACTCAGGAGGCTGGGAGAGTCACAAGTTCAAGGGCAATCTGAGCTACACAGCAGGGCTCTGTCTCAGGAAACCAAGGGCTGGGATGTAGCTCAAGGGTAAAGTTCTTGCCTAGCGTGTGCAAGGTCCTAGGTTCCATCCTCAGTACCCCAAATCAAGAGAAAAAGGTGAAGCCCTTCCAGTAGGTCTAGGAGAATGGGAAGGAAGGACACCCCCAAATACATAGAGACCTGTATTTCTTAGCTTGCATCCATCAGTCATGTATTAAAATGCAAACTTCCAGATTCCACCAGCCAGACCTAGTGGGCCATTAGCTCCAAGGAAGGGCTAGGGACTCTCCATTTCTAATAGCTAATGTAAAATTTCATACAAGTTTCAATACTGATGTACAAAGACTCCCCCAGGCCAGAATCAATGACTTGGCCAAATCCATTATGTTCAGACACACTGTCGACTGGTAGAGAAGGGACTGAGAGGGGAGAAGGTGCCGAGGGATGTCTGGTGTCTGATGTTTTCTGGGCTGCTGAATGTCACCCTTTCTCTCCTGGGTAAAGCGCTCTAATTACCTGCACCGGCAAGTGCTCCAGTTCGCCAGACAGTACAGCAACGTCCGCGTCACCCCCTGGAGGATGGCCACCATCTGGGGGGGAGCCAGTCTTCTGTCCACCTACCTGCAGAGCATGCGGGACCTCCTGGAGATGACCGACTGGCCCTGGGACTTCTTCATCAACCTCAGTGCGGCTGACTATCCTATCAGGTGAGACCACGGTGACCTCAGGCCATCCTGGTCTGAGGTCTTGCTTCCCCTCACCTTCTCTGTGACAGCAAATGGGAACAGGCAGTCTGCTTCCTGTCCAGAGAGGCATCCTGCCTCAGTAAGATGTCACACAGCTCACCTGCTGTCTCTGTAATATCTCTCAGCATTGTATTCAGTTCAGTCCTAACAGTCACTTACTGATTCATTCATTCATTCACTCACTCACTCACTTAACAGATAGTTAGTGGGCACGAGGTTTTCCCACCTTTGTTTGAATGTACCAGGGCACATGGGACTACCATTCAAATAGGGAAACAGCTTCCAACAAAATAGACACACGGAATGCTGGAAGAATAAAGCAGAATGCAGAAGTGGAGCAAGACATATTCTGAATGAGAAAGACCAAGCACATCCTTCTAGATAAGAATGGAAGAGGATGAAGGACTGAATCACACTGGCAGGAAAAGTGGTCCACACCTCAGGAGCGTCAAGAGCTGAGTCCTGAGGTAGGAACCTGCCGGGTGTAGACAAGGGACAGCAAAGCTCAGAGTGGCCACAACAGAGTGAGGGATAGAGTAACTGGTGACATAAAGACAGAGAGTAAATTGTGTTCTTGGAGATTCCAGAATCTGCTGTTACCCTGAGCAAGATGGAAGCCACCAGCAGAGGAAGGTCAAGGTCTGACCTTGATGTTGAACTGCAAGGGGCAAGTGGAAGAAGGGAGGCCCAGGCAACAGCCCGGGCAGATCACAAGTGGGCATCTTGGCCATTGGAGGCCCACGGGCATGGTAGTTTGCCCCTCTTCAAATTTTAACAAACAAATGCATTGCCTACATTTCCAATTGGGAAATTTCACATGAAGCAATCGTTTCTGGCTTCTTTGGAAGATCTGCATGCTCTGAGCCCACAGCCTGCTGGCTCCAGCTGTCTAGAGCTGGGGTGCAGCCACAGTCCGAGGTGGTGAGACACACAGCAGCCACAACCTAGGCTGCAGCAGAATGGCTGTCTCTTTGCATGAGTGTCAGTTTGCTCTTTAAAGAGCTGCTTTAGAGATCCTGTAGGAAAAGAAAGGAAACACAGAAAAATGAACTATACTTCCTCGTCAAGAACAGCCCTTGGCTTTGACTGTAACTTCCATCCTGAGTTGTTTACTGTGTGCTGGGGGAGGGGGAAGGGAGGGCCTCCCACCCATTGATGTCATAAGAACATTGAGTGCATCATTTCCAGGAGAGCTAGATGAAGCTGTCTTTAAAAAAAGAAAAAAACAAACCTCTTATTGCAGTGTGGCCACAGTGTCTTACTCCTGTAATCCCAGCTACTTGGGAAGCAGAGATTGGGAAGATCATAGTTCAAGACCAGCCCAGGCAAAAAGTTAGTGAATCCCCATCTCAATCAGTAAGCCAGGCATAATGGCAAGTATCTATAATCCCAGCTATGAGGAAAGATCACATGGGCAAAAACACAAGACCCTACCTGAAAAGTAACAAGCAAGACAGAGCTAGGGACTTAGCTTAAGTGACAGAGCACCTGCCTAGCAAGCACAAGGCCCTGAGTTCAAACCCCAGTACCAAGAGTAGCTTGATGACAGCCACACACCCATTGCCCAGTCTCAGCCACTGTCAGTTCAGGGCCCATCTTGTTGACTCTCTCAATTTTCACCCTCTTTTCCAACCCAGGATTGTAGTTAAACAAATCCAGGACATCATACAAGCATATCTGTACATGTTCGAGTGCACGCCTCTCACAGGTGAGATCTCTTTTGTCTGTAATCATCAATATGATGATCAACCCGAAGTGTTAAGCCATTCCTCAGGGTACCACATATCCAGGTCACAGAGTCCCAAGAGTTTGGGTTTTGAATCAGGATCCAAATAAGGCTCAGGAATAAAGGAACCACTCCAAAACACTAGAAATGGCCTCTTCTTTCATAGCCTGGTCTTCGCAGCCTTCTTCTGCTTAGGGCTTGGGGGCTATCCTGTAATTTTCCCAGACACCCTGGTCTTGTAGGAGATGAGAGCAAGGCACAGCCTGTATACAGTCTGGACAAGATACCCCTTGTTTCCTTGAACCTAAGAAAAACTGATGGGGGCTAAAAAAAACACCTGTTTCCTTTGGCTCGAACACTAACGGGTTGGATGGAGTGACTTAAAACCAGGGCTGGCAGAGTTTGAGTCATTATGGCTTTTCATTTATCCTGCAAGCATTTATTGAGCAGTTACTGTTCTCTGAACTATTTGGGGCATTTAGTGCAAAAAGCAACTAGTTGAGAAAAACTGGGGTTAGATGTGTCAGAGAGATGGCAGACAAGTTGTGCAAGGGCTGTAGAGAAAGATGTGAGCAGGGGACTGGAGGGCCCAGCAGGAGGTCAGAAATGCTCTGGAGAGTCAGCCTTCAGGTGATGGGTGCTAACAAGGGATTGATGGGCGGGCAGTGAGAAAGAAGAGGTCACTGCAGACCAGCCACGCCCTGCTGGTGCTTGGGGCTGGACAGTTCTGTATTGGGCATTGTCCAGTGTTTAGCAGTATCTCTGGTCTCTACCCACCAGACGCCAGTCACACACCCTGCCCTCTAGTGCCAACTACGCATCTAAGGACATCACCAGATAACCCCTGGGGACCAAAATCACTCGCAGAGAGGGCACAACATGGATCAGAGACGAACTTGTTCCATTTGTGGAATTTAAAAAATGGACCAAGTATAACAAAGAAAAGAATGAGAAGAGTGAATTGAGGCAAGTCCAGAGAAGATGCTCTTCCTAGAAGGAAGGAGTTAGAAATGTCCCCACATTCTGTGAGCAGAAGCTAATGTGGCAGGTCCTTCCTTCAACGCTCACAGCAAACCTGCTTTACAGATGGACAAACTGAGACTCAGGTCATATGATAGAGAGCCGTGATTAGAACCAGTGCTGTCTGGTTCCAAGGTTGGTGTTCTTTTGGCTTGAAGTCTTCCGCAAGCTTTTTGTCTCGCAAGCACAGAAGGAAAAAGTATGGACCCTTGAACTTGTGGTTAGACCAATTTTTAGCAGGGACTGTCCAGGGAAGGTACTTGAAGGTCTGAGGAGCTATGGTTCAGACTCCCACACTCTTCCTTCCCAGACATCCATCCACTGGAGGCCTCAGAGGTCAGGTCAGTCTGGGACAGTGGCACCATTTAGCCAGAGACTCCAGGAGGCCAAGTAGGTGAGCACACTGCTGCCCTCTAGAGGTGCCGTGTTGTGTTGATGCAAGTTGAAGCCCTAACAGTGGCCACTTAACCTGGAGTCCAGCTCTGCACAGCACCCGGGAAGATGAGCAAGCACTCAGACTCTCTCCAGACTGCTCAGGGTTCCTATTTGAGTTTCACCACCTAAGTAGCAGTGAGGGCACAAGCCAGTACATTTAACGCCTCTGACATCAGGATATAATAACAGAACAGAGCAGAATGCCAGGCACTTAGAAGGTGCACAGTAAGTGTCACCTGATTGCATCTAAGTGATATCCACGGTGGCATCTCTCCAAGGGTCTCAAAAGTCCTTTCTCAGACCGCGTGCCTGACCTGTTTTGGGGCTCACAGAAGCCAGTCAGCATTCTTCTATTTCTTTCAGCTTTACTTCTACAGGTCACGCTGTGTCTGTGTCGTTCTGACTTGCTCTTCCTCACCCTCACCCCACCTCTGCAGAGCCCACCCTCACCACTCCATTCTGCTGCCCCTCTCCTCTGCCAGTTGCATGGCCTGGGGCACCTCATGCGTCAGGCACCACTGGCTCCTCTTGCTGTTGTCATGAAGTCACCCCACACAAAACATCTGAATTTTGCACATGACTAGTTTTATCCCAGGCAACTCTGATAGGTTTTCACTTCCCATCTGCCGCTCCATCTGTAGCTTCCAGAAGCACTACTTCTCCATCCCAGGAAGTTTGAGCAAACTTGGGAAACATCTTGAAGGGGTGAGAAAGCCTAAGTCAGATAGTTCCAGGAGGCTCTGAAAACTTGGGGTTCTCCAAAGGCAGAACGAACCCAAAGTATCTGCTCTGAGCTGTTGTGTGATTTGACATCACTTCCCTGTGTCCTGCGTGTTAACCAGTGGTGGGGAGGGCAGACTTTTCCTCTCTTAGGTGGTAAAGTCTCACTGACTTACTGGTCACTGGCCTGGTTTAGGCCCTGGACACAGACGGCCTGGTTTTAGACTCTACCATCCACTGGCCATGGAAATTGGCCCAAGTTGGTTCAATTTTCTCCATCTCAGTTTTTCCACCTTAAAATGTTGGGAGCGCCTGTTTCAAAGGCCTCTTGGGAGAGGTAAAGGGAATATGGTGTGTGAGAGGCAGAACACAGCGCCAGCTGCATACCAAGAGCTGGGTCCGTGTCACATGGGCATCAGAGGAGGACTCTGATGTGTTTCCCTTTTCCCTTTGAAAAGAGAAGCAAAACTATTCTTCGATCTCACATCTCTTTCCAAAGTGAGGAAAGCAGAGTTAGACTGAAGAGTGAAGGATTTAAGAGAAAACAGGATAGCATGTGCTCGCTTGTGAACATGAAGTATATTCCTGTCTTTGGGGTGTGCAGGCTGTGTGTCTATATTCCAGGCCTTCCCACTCTACCGTCCATGGGCTACCTGGCCCTCGGAGGCTCTGGTTGGAGCTGGTTATGTGCCCAGTACATGAGTGAAGATGGATGTGTTCAAAACTAGGTCTTGACTCTCAAAAGGCACGAGGGAAGCAGGGTGTGCTGGTGCAATCTCTAATCCCAGCACTTGGGAAGCTGAGGAAGAAGGATGGCAAGTTTGGGACCAAATTGGACTACATAGTGAGACTCTGTCTCAAAAAGAGGGGTGTGCAATGGTTTTATACCAAGGCAGGGGACCATGCCCGGTGCACTTTAGATTGCTCACAGGAAGGAGTGAAGCCAAAAGCATTTTGCCCTGTTGCTTAGTTTGGCCCCTCACAGCACCTGTCCTTAACCAGTCCCAGTGACCTGGGGCAAAAAGAAGAGGGATGAGTTTGTCATGGCCCCTCCAAGACT